GTATAAAAGATAAACGATACATGTTATCCCAACATTGTTTCGTTAGCGTTGAAAACGTTCGTCGGTTTACAAAAGTCAACATAAGTTACATAATATACCAACCATTTTAATGTAACACAATGTACGTGTAAATACATGAATTGTGACATTGAGACATGATAGTGTCCATTACAAGCTATTAATTATTACTGAGTACTATTTAAGCTCTGCAGTGACACTTGTTAAGCATAATTAAGCTGTACTGAAAATTTATGACTAGTTATAATAATGTGGTAAAAATATATTATTTATTAACACAATAATGTGCCCTGAACTTTTGTTACTAAATACTGTTAATTGATGTCGTCATGTAGTAATTTTATTGTAATTATCATTGAAATTTTACCTACAAGCGTATTATATATTTTGTAAAGATTTTAATCGCATAAAAATGCGACATAATCCAACGCGAAACTTTTCAAAGAATTAAAAGCATTTAATTACTGTTAAAATAAAATAAAAACGTGTTAGATTATTTTGTAAATTAATTTACAAAGATTAAAAAGTTTTTATTCTCGTTTGTTTTAAAAAAGTTTTTTAGGGACAGCTAAGAATCAATTTCATTCTTTAGATTTGTAACAAACCTAAAAATAATTCTCTATCTCTCGCCGTGCGCTCTTAAATTAGCGCAAAAAATAATTAACGAAATGACATCTCTAAAACAATAGGAAAAAGTAAACTCACCGTAAAGCATCGCGATGAGTCCACTTAAAAAAATCCCAGTTGTATATACACAATAATTATTCCCGAAAAATCACTTGCGACACTTGCACACAGACACGCTACATTCGAAAAAGCACTCGAAGCACTTGTTTTTCGAGTATTCTGTAGGCAACCATTTGTGTTGGCACTGTAAGGGCCGGGGAGCGAGACGACAGTCTGCGGCGGGGGTTGAAGTTGACTGAAGGGGTGCGCGGGTCGTGCGGGGCGCGGGCGAGGGGCGCGCGCCCCGCGCAGGCGGGCGGCCTGCCCTGAACCGCTATCGGACGCAATTTTATTTTTCTGTTTTCGAATTGCCCACTTATCTCTGCTGATGCAGACTGTACATTGTAAAGGCACAATTAGAATGTCGTCGCCGTTGCTGACTTGATTGAATTTAAAAAATACAAAAAGAGTTTTGCTACGTTCACCGTTAGCATTGTGTGCCGAGCTCGAGTTTACAAAACGTATATTAAAATTCAGCCTGTGAACAGTGACTGTTTTTTGTTTATTACTTAAGGACACAAAAGTGTTGTTACATTTTACATCTCGTTGTCCTGTTAAGGAACCGTTTTGAGTTATCTCAAGTTCCTTTTAATAAGGGTAAATAATTAATATTTTTTTTTTAAAAACCTTAACGATAACCTCATTATATAAGCTTCTAAATTGTCATTAAGAGTTCTTGTATCAAGTTCGATCAAAGTGTCTCAGCGGAGTCGCAGCAGTCGCTCGGGGAAAGGCTTTTAAAAGTTACTCTTGATCTTAGCGCCACAAAGAATTTGTCGCACCTCGTCAGCTGCGAACTTTGGCGCGGGATTCATTAGCGAGCATGACAGCCTCTCAGACTCACTTATATATGTATATGAGCTATACTCTAACTTACTTAAACTTAGTAAGTTAAATTTGTTTGTTTGATGATGATTATCAAATTTAGCACACATTGAGGAATATAAAAGGATTTTATCGTGACATTCTTATGTATAAAAATTTATTATTATTTTCATACAGGGGATAGATAGGTACAAAGTTTGTTGCCTGTACATTTATAAGTTATAATATATTTATTAAACTAAATGAAAAGTTAAATTAACTCTGCTTCTTATGTATGTAAATACACGTATTTTTAATAAAACTTTTCTTATTAAACTTTAACTATAAAATCTGTAAAACACACACGTATTCAGGTACCTAATGAAATAGTTTGTGGTTAACTTAGAGCTTACAAAGCTTTAGCAGAAACTTCAAATGTGGTGCAACTAAAAAGCTTTCTCATTAAGCTTCTGTATCCATTGAAGAAGTGGCAGAAAACTGTTTGAAACGAACTCGATGTTTTTCAGACGTTTCAATTGGTTGTGCGGAGCCGGCGCTTTTGAAATCCATCCTTTTTGATCGATTACGCTTTCCTCTTCGCTTCAACAATGGATTTTTACAATCCAGTCACGTCCCTTAGTTTGCACAGGAAGCCGCTCAAAGACATCAACCCTGTTTGTTTATTAATGACTCATTTTATATTTTCATTTATTTCTGCTTTAAAGTTACAAGAATTCTTTCGTCGGTTACTGAAGCACTGGTGAGTATCAGATAACGCTCAAAATAAAAGTTCATCTCTTTACACATTTAATAATTCTTTATCTTACAAATAGGTAGAGTTAGTTTTTATTAAACACATCAGCCTATCAGGATTTCACAAGGTTCAAGCACAGTTGATGATCGTAATAAAAAAAAATTTGGTACGTAACTATAAAATATACTTCCTTTGTTTAATCTGTGACTTTAGTGGTATTTATTATCAGATTATCGATTAGAATTTGTCGAATGTTGAAAGATAAACTTTTACATCGAATAGGATATTCCAAAGTAAATGTAAGAAGGGGAATCTCGGAAGCCGGGCCGAAACGTTCTCTGGTCGGAATGAAAGTCTATTGTAGCACATCGCATGGGCCAGGGAAGTTGTTAGTGTTGTAGGGTGTACAAGTTTTATAAAAAAAAATTGTTATAGTTTACGAAACTATAATAAGTTGATTTGATACTCTTCTAATTGGAATCAATTAGCCGTATGGAATCTATCATGTGAAAAACATTATTTTCATTTATGTACTTTAATTGGACTTTTCTAATTTCTTCAAGCATTTAATGATTTCACACTTTCTATCTTAAGGGAATTCTAGGAATAAATTTAATAAACTTAACACCTATATTTTAAATATCTTTCTGAGAAGTTATTTTTGATCTATTTGTTAGAAAGCATAAGATGTGTCTCAAAATAAATACATAGCATGGACACTGTAATGTGGGTATGATTAAAACGTTGGAAGGGAAGCTCCATCAGATTAGGGTGGCACAATGGCCGCGAGGGGGCGCTGATGCACGCCGGCTTCCCTAACGATCTCATATCATAATTTGTACAATTTCTACGACCATTGTCAGTTATAAAGTAATTTCAACGAATGCAATGAATAAGTGGAAACATTATGTGATTTAAGTAACAATGTTTATTGTGTGTTTTGATTTGGTAAGTGTAGTGTATAGCAACACTTTTATCTACTGTCTTGCCAGCATACCAGCAAGACCGTCCTGTTATTATATTTGCATGCAGTGGAATAAGCATATCTTTTTTATCTCATTTACACTTTGAATTCCATTGGAATACTTAATCTTACGGCTTAATACTAAAAAGACATTTAATATAGGCTACTAGTGAGGCTAAGGTTAATCTCCAGATTCCAGACACTTCCGAAACAATGTGTATGAGATTCTTTTCAGAATTCGGCCCTAAGAGTAATTAAAACGGGTCTGTTAGTTTTATAAAGTTATAACTAAAATTATATCTTGTAGGATGTATTTACAAGTCACATATTCCAATTGCAAACTTAAACAAGAACTCACGAATTTCCCCTACGTTTTCTTATCGTCGTACGACATTCGAGCAGACACAAGTTTGCAAACTTGTGTATACCCAATTAGTCGTATTATTTACATTCGAAGACACACACAGACAGCTTAGAGTGTGTGTAAAACACTAATATACAACTTACATCTTGAATCTATTGGATATATTACACTATGTTATGAACAAACAACAGTTTATTAATCACTGGCATACGAGACTGCGTTTGCACCTAATTAGAAAAAAAACAAAAGTACGTAACATATGTTTTCTTTACGTCTATCGTCTACATCTATGCCAAATTACATCGAGATCCGTCCAGCTGTTTAGGCTACAAACTCTGACAAATATCCATCCATCTAAATTTCGCGTTTATAATATTACTATAATTTAAAATAAAATAACAATTAATATAAGTATATTAAATAATTGTATCAATGTCGCAAGTAAATGCCACAGGAGCTGCGCAGTGGTGCTTAGTCAAGGAGCCGCTAATTTAAATAAAAACTCGCTGCCATTAAAACTTGTACAAAAGTAAATGTCTACGGGAGTCTCATTAATTTTTTTCAAGATGTAACAATGTTTGTCGTTTGTTCTTCTTGTTTTTAACTAAAGAGGCAAGAATAAATTAGAGATACATTTTTATTAAGCATTACAGTCTCATTTAAATTGATGGATTTAGTTTTTTTTTTAATTATGATTGTTGTGTAATACAAAATAATTGAGTTTATAAATAAGTTACCGAATTACGATTATTACCTTAGTAATTGACTTTCTAATTTTAAAATATACTGTCACTTCCATTTTGTCAAAGTGTATGATATTTATAACATTTTCAAGAGTGTTATCAGGCTAGCGTAGCAATATTTTTTCAGGCTTTTTTTATTATATCTAAAAAGAAACAGTAACTGAAAGAGATTAATAAAACGTGAACAAAAGCACCAAAAATCTCACGCAGAAAAATAAGGAAATTGCAATGGAAACTAAAACAATGCTAAAAGAGAAAACAATCAAGAAACAAATTCTGTACATTTTTCTTTTAAGGTAGCGTTCCTTTGTTTTTATTGTATTTCGTTTTTATATTGTTTTAAAGGGGTTCGTTTACTTTTATAAAAACAGTACGTTTTCAACTATGCACAAATTTTATTTGCAATAAAACAACTTGTATAGCCCAACAACGCCATTGTTCTATGGTAAAAAGAAAAAAATATCCATTTCATTTGATAACCATAAAAAAGTATTCAAAAATCAAGTCAATATTTTACCGAAAATCTTAAAATTTCGTCATTCTCTAACTGTGCAGCAACAAATACTTTAAGTATAAAAGAAGGCTCCAAAACTAAAGCCAACATTTCTTGCGCAGAGCCATCTGGTGACAGACAAAAGACTTCCACGACCGCAATCGACGAAAAAGTACGTCATGAAGCAATTAGAAGGAACATCCAGCTTTGAAGCAACTATTAGCTTTCAAATTGGCTTCACTCCAATTCTCAGACGAGGCGCTGTGAAAAGAATTAAACACTATTACAGCCTTTTCCTTAAAGAAGCGTCGGTATTAACTAAAATTACTTTTATCTCCGCGTTTATAGTATATGATAACAATGAAGATTTTTTTTAATTTTTGGAAACTTCAAACATTTACAGAACTAACATTTCCACTGCATATTATAATTTTTATTTCTTATTGTTACTAATATTTG